TTTGCTAAGCTTGTTCTAAATAGGTGCTTTAGACCACTGAGCCATCTCTCCAGCCCCTGGGAGTTTACTTTTTACTCCAGTCAAGAGTTCTTTCTTTCTTTCTTTCTTTCTTTCTTTCTTTCTTTCTTTCTTTCTTTCTTTCTTTCTTTCTCTTTCTATTTTTGTACCACCAATCAAGTTCTCAAACTCAGGACCTTGCACTTGCCAGGCAGGTGTTTATGCTGCTGAGCTATCTCCCTGGCCCTGGTGATTTCTTTTGATGTGCTAAAAAAAAAAAGTGATCCCAGTTGTTGATTCTTTCAACCAAATTGTGCAGGCTATATCATCTTCTTGATGATTTGCTGTGTTCCACTTGGTAGTATTTTTGCATCTATGTTCATAAAAGAGATTTTCCTTTTGTGTAGAAATTAAAGAGTTTGAGAAGAACTGGCATTAAACATTCTTCTAAATTTCTTTCAGAATGCAGTTGTGAATCCATTAAGACCTCAGCTTTTTGTTGTTGGCAAGTCTGTTTTATTAAATTTCCAATTTCATTCATTGTTATTGGAGTACTCAGAATTTTTAAATCTTTTTGATTAGCTTTGGCTATTCACATGTATCTAGGAATCTATCCATTTCTTCTGTGTTTTCCACTCTGTGAGAGTAAAGTTTTTCAAGGCAGTTATTGATGATCTTCTGAATTTCTCTAGGATCTATAGTGATTTTTCTCTTTTCATATCCAACTGCATGAACTTCAGTTCTTTCTTTCCTCTTCTTGATAGGCTTGTCTAAGGGTGTATGGATTTTGTTTATAATTTCAAAGATCTGACTCTTCACTTCATTAATTCTTTGACTTATTTTCCTTGTTAATTAGTTTCTGGATTAATTTCTCCTCTGATGGTTCCAATTTCTTGCCTTTTTTGAAATTTGAGTCTGGCTTGCTTTTCTTTTTCTAGATTCTTGAGGGATAGCATAAGATTATTTTACTTGCGCTCATTCTGTTTTCTTCATGTGAGAATTTACCACTATCAGCTTCCCTTTTATGACTGCCTTTGTTGTGTCCAGGTTCTGGTAAATTGCACCTGCACTTGCATTTGATTGCAAATATTGTTTAATTTCTTCTTTAATTTCATTTGGGACACAATAATTATCAGGAGGGTTTTACTAACTTCCATAGTTTTTGTGATGTTTTTGTTAAAAATTTTCAGTTTCATTCTCTTAGGCTTTCACAGAAAGCAAATTGGTCAAGCAATGGCTGTGACTCATCCACATGGCTGACACTGATAAAAGTTCTACAACTGTGGTACAGGATTTCACGGTAAATCCTGAGGGGATTTAACAGAGCTTGTCAAATACAAAAGTTACATTTCTTGGTATGTAAGTCTTGCTTTATCTTAGTCTTAACAATCCAGCAGAAAGTATAAAAACAATGTATTAAAAAAAAGCCATATTAATATGCTGAGCTATAAAAGGCTCAAGTCAACAACTTCTGACATTGACAGTCTTACTGATGACCCACTACTTTTATGGACTACTGGACTATATTGGATTATTTTGCTGAATTCAAGCACCTACAATATTTAAATGGCAATTGAATACCCATCTCTGACAAAACTATACAAAAAAGTGGGATACAAATGCAAGACCATTTTGTATCTGTATATACAAAATAGGATAGATATACAGCTCCTTTCTCTTAATTCAATGAGAAGAAAGATTTGTACTAATAGTTTTTGGACAGTATATTATATCTACATCTTGTGCTATGAATAACTACTAAGAAGACAAAAATATTCTATGTATTAATTATTGAAACTTTCCTATTAATTGGTTTTGAAGCTGTCTCATTGCTATTTGTTTTTCAATAAAATTATTAAAAAATAATTTCCAGTTTCATTGCAGTATAGTTATGTAATGTGCAAGGGATATATTTGATACCTTTGTTCAATGTGCTAGTATATGGTCTATTTTGGAGAGTGGATGGTGTGCAACTGAGAAGAAAATGTATCCTTACATTTTTGGGTGAAACATTTAAAGGTATACTGGTCCATTTCATCACAAGTTTGTTTTAATTCTGTTATTTCTTTGCTGATTTGTTGCATAGTTGATCTACCTCTTTTTGTCAATGGCTGTTAATGTATGCCATCACAAGTGGATTATTGCTCATTTCTTTTTTCTATTTTGTTAAAATTTGTCTCATATAGATGGGTGCTCCTACACTGGGTACATATATACTTATGATATTTATCACTTTTTGCAGTTTTTCTCCAACAAGTATGTGGCAACTTTATCTCTTTTGATCATTCTTGGTTTGTTGTTGACATTGTCAACCACTAGAATAGCTATCCCTGCTTTATTCTGGTTTCCTGTCACATGGAGGGTAGTTTTGCAGCTTGTGACTTTTAGTCTGTAAATTTTCTTTTGAGTTAAATGTTTTTTGCATATAGCATCTTGTTGGATTTGTTTCTTGATCCACTCTGCCATTTTGTTTCTTTGATGAGTGAATTGAGGCCATTTACTGGTATGGTTATTACTGATATATACTGGCTTATCTTTGTCCTGTTATATTCCTGCTGTTGTTTGCTTTATTCTCTGCAGAGCTCACCAGCACCCTGAAGGTCTCTTTGTCTCAGTTTGCCTTCTGCTGATGGAACCTTAACTTAATTTTGAGTTTTAGTTCTCTGAAGACTAAAGATGCTGACAATTTATTCATGTACTTATTGATCACTTACACTTTTTCAGAGAAATATCTGTTCAGTTCACTTGCCACTTACCAACTGTCTTATTTTTCTCTCATTCTGGGTCTTGTTGTATACTCACCTTATGTTTGAATTCACTGTTTAGCCTGGACTGGCTTTGCAGTTGCAGGGATCCTCCTCGCTCAATTTCCTGAATGCTGGGATGACAAGAGCACTCCACCACGCTTGGCATGTATTCTTGGCTATTCAGTTTTGGACTTTTTGTATATTTAAATAGTAGCCCTCTTCAAGAGTAGGTGGCCAAGATTTTTTTCCCCAGATTCCATGTTTCTTTTTACTGCTGCTTTTGCTGAAACTTTTAAATTGATGCAATCTTACTTGTGAATCATTGCCATTATTACATATGATATTGGAGTTCAGAAAGACTTTTTGAAGTGGAACTCAGTTGATTCTGCTGAATCAATTAGTTTATTGACTTGTGTCATGTACCACTCATCAAATAAAGGCTCCTACATAAGGTAACTATGTCACAACTGTTTCACATCTGAACTGTAGCATTATGGAAGTTTGAAGGTTGAGATTTAGCCTGGCAAAGCTGCCTCCTGTTCCCTCTAACATTTTTGAAATCAGACTCCAGGGGCCCCAATTGGTTGTCTCAGGACACAAGAATTACCAGGTCTGTTGTAGTATAATGTCATTCACTAGGAACTAAATAAATATATCAAGCAAGTGACACCATCATGCACAACCAAGACAGAATACAAAGACTTTAATGTTTTACAAGAAAATTTCTAGTGGATTGCAAATATAACTCTCTGTGTTAAACTGACTTGCTTTGTGGGAGGAAAGAAACTAGGGATATTTAGAGGAAATTTCTTATTCCTGAGAGATACTCAAAGGTAAGGCCAGAGCCTATTATGCACCTCCTGCAAAGAAATACATCAAGAGGTTGTTTGTTGATAGATGGCTAAGTGACCCTCCCTGACCAGCTGCCCTGGGATCTCTGGCTCATGGTTGCTGTCACCTCAGCCTGTCACCAGGTGAAGCCTGGACTCCAAGACCAGGCCATGTTGAAATGGCTGATGTTGCAGAGTGGCTCCTAAGGATGTGATGCTGAGTCCTGGAGGTTGCTGGGCTGGAACATGGCTTAGGTAGCCCTGCTAGGTGGAAGGGAGATTGTGGCAACTCTGACTAGAGCAAGCGATTCTGTGAATACACACATAATTGAGAACTGTGTGGGGAGAGGAGGAGAAGGGGGCTTAAACCCAGGAACTGGAAAAGGAAGAGCTGGTGACCAGGCACACTGTGGTGGAGACAGGAACTGGTGTGGAAAGACCAGGCAGCAAGGGAGGGGTTGGGCTGAACTCAGTCCTGGCTCTGGAGAAGGAAGCAAATGTAACATGGGAGCCAGAGGGCCACTTGAGCCTCCTAAGCAGCAGACAGCACTGAATCAGGAAGAAACCTGCCTCACTGGAGAGAAACCCGGGAATCACGACACTGAGTGCTCTGTCCTCCCAGGTGCCTGGAGTTACCCTTTTTACACTGCTCCATTCTCTGCCGAATTGTTGGGGCCTGATGAATGTTTCTGGCTTAGAGATTATATGAAGTTCCTAAAGCCCAGAGATTTCATATTTGGAGTGTTAAGCAGGGAGGACATAGGACTGTATGTATAAGGATCACTCCCAATGCTGCAGACTCCCTGTACTCAGGGAATAGGACCACATAGGAGAGCTGAGCTTTGATATAAATTTTGCTTGCTCAATCAGCTCTGATGCTTCCTTCCATTGCATAGAATGGAATAAGTGAAAAAAAAATAAAAGAGGAAGAGAAAGAAGAAGCAATAACCAGAAGGGAAAATAGTGTGGCTTCATACTCAGCAGGGTTTAATGAATACACAATACTTCAGCCTCATTCATTCTTGAGAAACATTTATTATTACAGCTCAATCCCCATGTTCACTAGATCCTACATTTTGCTTCAAACATTCTGGTGTGGTAGAGGAGAGGCCAGTCTTATACTTGCTGCTACAAGTGCCCCATGGTTTTCTTTATCCAGGGCAGAAAGTGGGAAACCTTTGTAAAGACTGCTGGGGGTCTTCCATTCTTTCTTCCATAGGAGAAAATGCCTTGGATCACTTTGTTACACACGAGGGGACCCCCAGAGTCTCCCTGCAGACAGAGAAGGAAAATCTGTGTTGGCCTACACATGGTGGTATCTTGGAGTCCCACAGCAGGTGACCTCTGTCAGGGGCTGTGAGCAGGGATCAGATCCTGGCAGACCTGGTTACATCCTGCAACCACAGGGTCTATCCTGACCCCAACTTTACTTTTCAGTCTTAAGTTATTTTAAGACTGTGCAATCCTCACAGATAATCTGCTGATAACGCCATAGTCAGTTACCTTACATTTCCCCACCTTGTACACCTATCCTCTCAGAGTGTAGAGTAAAGATTACATTGCTAGACAACCCCAGCTTCCAAGCCCTGGACTTAGGTCTAGGGGATTGGACACTACCACCCCCCCATGGAGTTCCTCCTTCCCTGGGTTCTGTTTATAGATAGTGAAATCCTCACCTTGAAACCAGTCTTGTAAATCCTTGGGTCTCCCACACAAATTTCAGTGTCATCAGAATACACATGCATGCATGATCTGCATTTTAACTCATTTTGCACTGTCAGCTCCACCTCCTGTAGTTTAGTTGCTAGGGGGCCTGATGGGCTCATTCTTCCCCAGCCTGCCATGTGGCATGTGTCCCCTGGGTTCAATTGGGTCATGTCCTCATGCAGACTGAGGAGCTGCACAGCTTTGCTCAGCTTGACGTTTTTCTTCAGCTGATGGGGAAAAAGCAAGAGATTCCAGACCATCCTATGGTATAGACCCTATTCCTTCTGGGCCTGGACATCATGATGACCAAGATGACAAGGAGTGAAAGAGTAGGGTCCTAGGGGAAAATACAATCCTACATGAGGAGGACAAACATATAAAGGTGTGCCTGACCTGTAGCAGCATGATGTCATTGGAGAAGTTTTGAGGAGTATAGTCTGGGTGTGGGATGGATTGTCTCACATGGATGACCTGCTGGGTCTTCTCATGTTCCTGGATGTTGTGGGCCCCCAGGGTGACATTCATTGAGCTATACAGAGAGGATAGTGGGTTGAGGGATGTGGCACCAAAGATCACACCCCCAAGGAGCTGTGCAGAGTAGGCAGCAGCTGCTTTTCTTGGCAGTGTGGACCTTCAGTCTTCTAGCCTATGTCACTTGTTCTGTGCTCTTGCCCTCTGACTCCATAGCTTACCTCTCCTTTATATCATCCTTTCCATTTCCAAGTCTTCTTTCCTTTTTAAAGTAATGGGAGTTGAACCCAAGACCTTTGCTCTGAGATACCACCCCATCCCCCAGCCCTTTTTCATTTAGTTTTATTTTTGAGATAGGGTTTCACTAAGTAGTTAACTTACTCAGACTGGCCCAAAAATTTTTTTCTGAACTTTCACTACTATATGCTTGAAGTATATAATGATTATATTCATTGCAAGAGAGTAGTCCATGTTCAGAAAACATTAAATTTCCTTTTTTTCACTGTTCTCCAACTCCCTTTTATTTTCCAGCATAAGATTCATTTATTTATCGTATAAGTCTTTATAAATATAATTATCATATATTCAGATATTGTGCTGAAACTTGACCCTCCTGCCTTTCCTGCTTTCTGATGAGCTCTTACAGACTTGTGTACTTTCACCCAGGAGCTCCTACAGAAGGCCTTGCTGTGGTCTCAGGAAGTGTGGGCTAGTTGTTGCTTTTACCTTCCCTGGCAGTGAGCAGCTGTCAGCACAAATTTCTTTGTCACCAAGACACCACCACATCTCCTAAGCTTCTTGCCATCCAGAAACTTGATAAATGCCATGTAGGGATGGGAGTGTGGCTTGGCCTCCTGACCACCGATTATCTCCACTGAAAGAAAAGCTAGAAGATTGGGTGACCAGGAGCAGCATTAGCAGGAGGTATAGTGGGGTTGAGGGTGGGATCTGAAGTGCTCTGCAGAGAGTAGGGGAGAGTCCAGTTAGGTTCTGCAGGATGCATCCTTTCAGGCAGGACTTTTTCTGGACCTCAAGTCCTATATCCCTGTTCTGAGAAAGGAAGGAGAGTATTTCTCTTTTATGTCCTAATTTAGTCACAGGTATAGAGGAGGTAAGGTCTGCTGTGTGGTGGTAAAGTTCCAGAAGATATTGGGAAGCTGCCTTCTTTCCTTCTTTCTCACTGAGACTTTCTAATTTCTCTGAGCTTCTGCTAACATCCTGATTGGTGGCCCTTTCTAACAATCTACATATGAGTTTATGAACTTGGATTTTCTCAAATCCTGGTGTTCTAGACCTAACACATTCTGTGTTCTCAATCTGTGTTCTTGGCTGCATGAATGACTGATCTTAAATTGGCCTTTGATCAGTGCTTAGTGGGGTAGTGTGGTGTGGTGGGATTCAGGGCTACAGAACTTTTGGAGGAAGGAGATGCCCCAGACAGGGAACAACTGGGAGTCTGGTGAGGCAGAGGTGGAGAGGACCCTCAAAATGCAACTGCAGAGAGCAAAGGTTAAGCCAAAGCAACAGAAAGTTGGTTGTAGTAATTTTGCCACCGCTGAGAGCAGTTGCCTCTCAGCTGCTTCTCCCTGAGCTTCTTACTGGGCTGGGGTGAGGGATAGAGGGCACTGAATAATGTATTTGGGTCTGGACCACCTCTCCTTTTCAGTTTGTTGGTCTAAGCAGCCTTCTCTCATTTTGAGCAACAGAGTTTGCTTACATTTTGTAGCTTTACATTCTCTGTTATTTTTTTCTTTGTTCTTCATTTTTAATGTTTTTCTAAGCACATCTCATTTTTGCATAATACACAAAATTCTGTGACAAGGCTAATGCCTACTCCTTGAGAGTGTCTAGCCAGCTTTATATTTGTAAGTTTGGGTTTGGGATGGGAAATTAAGGTCAGAAAACTCCTGGCTTAGACTGAGGAAAAATCCTCACCCAAACTAGCAGAAAAGTCAATAGTAGAGAGAATTTTTTGGGGTGTAGTCAGGCCTGGAAAAGGAACACTTACCTGTCCTAGTGTGAGGAGGCAGAAGAAAGATCAGCAGAATTAGGAATGGTGCCATGTCCCCAGGAGGTCTGCTCAGGTAAGAACAGACAGACAACTGTAGCAGGATGAAAGAGGCACAAGCCCTGTGACCTCACTGGTGTATTAGGTCTGTGTCTCTTTGGTTTTGATGGGTGTCACCATTCTACAGATGTTTATGAACATTTTCCTAATTGGTTTAAGTGAAAATGACAGTGTCACCACTAACGACTCTGTGGTTCAGTTACAAGGCATAGCAAGAATAAAGCTCTTGAGCTGGAGTGTGTAGCTTTGACTGCAGCTAGTAATAGATGGAGACCTCAGGAACTGCCTGGCATCTGAAGGGAATTAAAATGACTCATTTTCACAGCTCTGAAGTCTGTTTTCATTCTAATAAGGTTGTGAACAATTATATAGCAGGCTAGATCCAAGGACTAAAAGGCACATGTGTCTTGCTCTTGAAAAGCTGCAAATTGGTTGGAGTCGACTGAAAATCTATGCTTAGGGTACGAGTTGGTAAATTTGGTGGTGAGGTTTGCTTGTAATATGAGATGAAGGCCAGATGTGCTCAAGGGACATGGGAAGTTGGGCATTTTCTTATTCCATGAAATAGTAACAGTTTCTTATTTTTCACAATTATAACCTTATATTTTTAAAAGGATTAAAATATGCTCTGTAACTATAAGTGTTTTGGAGTTTCTCTTTGTTAGGAAGGAAAGTATGGGAATCAAAATTCACTGGATCGAAATGAATCATTGTTTACTCCATTGCAATTAGTGTCCTATTCACTTATGCATTGGTTATTTAATGCTTCTTGATCTGAGATGAGAAAATAACCTTCAAAGAGCCCCACCTCTGAACACAAGAGGTTTTGGAGAGACATTTTTTAATCTAAGGCCATTACTTCACCAATGGTTCTTACTCTTTGCCTTGTGACTATCTTGCTCGACTATCATCATCATGATTCCTGCAGGCTCAACTATCAGCATCATGTATCTATCACCACATGGTGAACTCTGTGTCTTTATGTTCCAATTTCTCTTTTCTTCAGGGAATACTAGTTACTGGATTAAGACCTATCCCACTCTCGTATGACCTGTATTTGATTGTACCTACAAAGTCTCTGTTCCCAAATGAAGTCACATTCACAACTCTGAGTGGATCTAAATATTAGGAGGACATTATTGAATGCAATTCATGTGGGTTGTAGGTTGATTTTTTCCATTCAAAATGAATTCTCACGGCAAGCCTTTAGTTAGGGTTAATGCATTCTAGTGTGTTTGAAGAGATTGGGGTAAGAGAAAAGGAAGAATGAGATAAGGAAAAGGGGAAGCTGACCTATAATATACTATGTGGTTGTTTATTACCATGGGCAACTTGAGCTTTGTCCTGCCTGGGACTCTTAGAGGGTCTGTATGGAATGAAGTTGGCACTCATCTTTTGTAGTTCAGGATCTCAGATCATGCAATGCTGGTTTCCATCCCAACTGGTTGTGTCCTCTCTGGATCCATTAACTCTTCTTCCTTTCAGGGTTGAGCCTGCTCTCAGCTGGAGAAAATTCCTACAGGTTCGGATAATATCTTGAGTCACAAAAGCCAAGAGATGCTTTGGTACTTGGAAATCCAAGGCATTTCTCAAGCCACAGGTGTCTGAAGGGATGAGTGCTAAGGAAAATAGACTCTATAACTAGGAATGCCTTTGACAACCCTTTTTATCCAAGTTTCTCATGTCTTGGATTAGGTGAACTTTTTTATCTCTCTTTTTACTGTGATTCCTTTCTTGCTCAATCATTCTTTTTCTTTAGTGCTTGCCCTTTTCTGTACTTGAGCCTGCTCCAAGGATAGAGGCCTTGACTCACTGACTCTGAAGGAAAGTTAAAAACAAATTGCACTTAATGTTTTATTTTTCTTTTTGGGGACTGGGGAGATGGCTCAGTGGAATAAGCACTTTCCTGGCAAGTGCAAGGGTCTGAGTTCAATCCCCAGTTCCACAAAAAAACCCTCTTTTTTATTTCATAAGTTTTATTCCCACACATACATATTACTTATTTCCTATGCTATTGGTGGTTTTGATCCTCATTTATCTGATTTAGGGATTGTCCAGTCATTTGAACTTGGTGCTTTTGTTTCTGGTCAAGATTCCCTATTGTGTTGGCTTCTGCAAATAACATCATAAGGTTACTTCTTTGGGTTGCAAGAATTTATGAGTGGTAGAAAGACCATGACAATTAAGCGAACTCACTCTGTATGTGTGAAGAACTCTTCATATTGGATTGAATCTGGAGGACTGACAAAGGCCAGGGTTGACATCACAGAGTTAGTAAGCACCATTGTCTAGATCATGTGGGTAAGGATCCATTTTCTCTAAGAATTAGAGAAGAATCCTGCTCCATAGGTAGAGAACAGATTAAGCATTTCCCCCAAATTATCTACAGTTGTAGGAAGTGTGAGCTGATACCTTCCCAATATTTTCCCCAAAATCAGATGCTTTGGAGAGAGCTGGAAGCCTGGAGGCTTTCTTTCCTGGGATTTTCCTGAGCTGAGTTAGAAAAACCCCTTGGCTGGGAGGCTGGAAACCTAGAATAGGGTGGGTATCTGAAGGCCCTCAACATCTTTGGTGTGGAGGAGGCATTGAGGGAGGCCAGGTCCCCTGGCTGAAAGACAGGTGACTCAGGTATTGGAGATCTGGGCCCATCACTGGCTTGTGGGGCTAACTGATTATGTGGTGATAGGCTAGATTAGTTCTTATGTGGCCCAATAACCTGCAACCTAAACCTAGGCCTGGCATGTGTGAGACTCCTTCTGCCTTGCCTGCCAGATTCTCTCCAGTCCCAGTCTCAGACCAGCGTATGTGTGAGAACTTCCACCATACAAGCTAAACCCCTCCAGCAGGAGTCCAGGCCCAGCCTATGTGTGGGACCATCTTCACACTCATGGGAACCTTCTCCATCAGACAGGCCTGATGTGAAACTCTGAAGCTGAAGTCCATGCAGAAAGGCTAGGTGCCAGAACCATCCAGTCAATCCAGGAGCTGAACATCTTGCCAGAGGGATACAGCGGGTTCACTTCCATGGGCTGCAGCAGGAAGATGCTGAGCACAACAGCCAGACCCAAGCTGTTGTGCCAGGTACATGTGGATGAGTTCAAACTTGGAAGATCAAGACCCGGTAAGCTGAGACACTTTGCTAGACTCAGATCTACAAGAGCATTCTCTCTGTTTTTGTCTTGATTGAGAGAGGGGGCAACAGGTAACTGGGGTGAATTAGTCTGCCTGGAAGAACCCAGGTACATCATGGGGAGGTGATCAGACAGAATTTAGGGGAACTAATGAATAAAAATTCCCAATTTAATATCTACTTAGGTACACAGACAAAATGTTTGCTGTTATAGTCTAAAATACAAGCCCATTAGTTACAAAAGTTTGTCAACTGCTAAATATCACTACTCATTATTAGTGTTCCCAATTGTAGCTCTGTAAATACAAAACTGTAACTGTCTTAAAAACATAATGCCTCTTGGGTAAGAATTTTGTTAGATAGTAAGGTTATGATTACACCAAAGCTCTACACCAAAGGTCAGAGGCCAATGCTATGCAAAATGACAAAGACAAGGAGCAAAATGCATTCTCAGGCCCTGAGCTCAACCAGAACAAATGTAGGAGATTCTAGCATAGAAGAAATTGGGAATAACATAACTGAAAGTTCTGAATTAATACTGTCTGAAGTAGAGAAACAACTGCAGAAAGCTATAGAGGCAATCAGATTAGAAATATTCTCTAAAGTATACAAAAATGATAACTGTACTGAAAGAATTACTAAGTGCTTCTAAAGAAGACACTGATAAAAATAGAGGAGGATAGAAAAATTATGGAATCCTGGAATGAGAAATATAGAAAAGAAACAAATTACATGAAGAAATTCAAAGATATTTACAGAAAACTAAAACCTCAATCACAAGACAGAACAGTCTGAATGAAAGTAAAAATAGAGTTTCAGATCTTGAAAATACCATTGCAGCTAGTTAAAAGGTAAGAAAAGATTTCTTAAAAACAACTAGGATGTAGGAAAAAATAATTCAACATCTGCAAGATGATGCAAAGATGAACAATGTGAGACTAATAGGAATCAATGAGAAAGAATCAATACAAATGATTAAAAAAAGAATATTGGCAGACTACCAGAAAACTTCCCAAATATTGGGAAACTAATGGACATTCAGTAACCAAAGCATATAGAACTCCAGAGAACATCAATCCAAATAAAAACACACTGAGACATATAATAGTGAAGATCCCAGAAATCCAGAATAAGTACAGTGTATTAAAATCCACTAGAGAAAAGAAACAGATCACATTTAAAGAAAACCCATCAGAATAATGGCAGATTTATCTTCACAAACCATCAAGTCAAGAAGAGCATGGAGCAAAATATTTCAAGTCCTCCAAGAAAACAAATTACAGCCCAGATGTCTATACCCTTCATAACTATCTTTAAAGTTTGATGGAAAAGTGAAATACTTCCATGACAAAGAACAATTAAAGAATTCATGATTACAAAGCCAACCCTACACAGACTACTAAAAGATATTCTAGAGAGGGACCAAAATGAACACAACTCCATAAAGGAGAATGGAAAGAACCTACCAAATAGTGCAAATAATTAAACACAGGAGAAAAGTGGGTATAAAACAGCAGGTAAATAGCATGTCAATCATAAACCAATATATCTCAATTATAACCATCAATGTAAATGGACTGAATTTACCAATTAAAAGAAATAGATGGGCAGACTGGATTGGGAAGCAAAATATAACAATATGTTGTGTACAAGAAGCACACTTAACTCATAAAGAAATTCATAGGCTGAAAGTCAAAGGATGGAAAACAATAATACAAGCCCCAGCACCTCAGAAATAATGCAAGGTAGTAATCCTCTTCAAAGACAGTCTCAACTTCAAACCAAGAATGATCAAATGAAATAAAGAAGTCCACTACATACTGGTTAGGGGAACAATTCCAGAGGAAGATGTAATACTCATAAATATGTATGCACCAAACATGGGAGCACCCAATTATATAAGACAAATCTTAATGAACATGAAAAATATAATATCCAATACCACATTCTT